CCTCCACTTGCACCTGCTGGATGACCTTGGGCAAGCCATAGTTCTGGCACAGCTGTTCTTGAAAAAGAGCAGTTTCTGTCCCTCAGCCCCACCTACCTCACGGGCAATGTTCCCTCTAAGCTGAGTTAGTGTGAGCTAGCTGACAGTTTTTTAGCCTCCAGCTCACACATTTTTGCCTTCGCTCAGGAAGGCTGGCTCCAGACCAAACTAATTTATGCAGCAGCCGAATTGCTCGCTCACAACTTTAATGCCAGTTAGTTCACAAAGTAGAATTTTTGCTCACAAGACTCCACAGCTTGGAGGGAGCATTGTTCACAGGGTGTCTGTTGCGGGGAGGGGAAGGGAAAGGAGTTTGTAAGCCGCTCTGAGACTCTTTTGGGTAGTGAAGGGCCGGGTATAAATTCAATCTCTTCTTCTTCTTCTTTTACCTCACAGGGTGTCTGTTGTGGGGAGTTTGTAAGCTGCTCTGAGACTCCTTTGGGAAAGGAGATTGCAAGCCGCTCTGAGACTCCTTTGGGTAGTGAAGGGTATAAATCCAATCTCTTCTCTTCTCAGACAAAAATTTGTGAGCTGGAGGCTAAAAAACTGTTGGCTAGCTCACACTAACTCAGCTTAGGGGGAACACTGCACCCAACTGATGAACACGTTAGCCCTGCAGGTCAGTGAGATGCGTGCCCTTAAAAATAATAACCCCAAAAGGCTACCGTCCATTTTTTATTGAGAATCCATTTAGCAACAAGTTTTAGTGTTTCAAAAAAAAATAAATGGGAATACCCGGTTTTGATTCCCTCTACTACGAACAGCGATGAACCAAGAGGTTCTCCTCTTCTCGCCACAAACAAACCGTCAACATTGCCTTCCGAATGAACTCCCGTAAGGCATCTTTCAAAAGCACCCAACCAAGAAAGGGGCTGTCCTTAAACAGAGGAACTTTCTGGTAAAGCAGGCATTAATTTAAGCCCGGTGGGCTATGTCAGCAACTGATCAGTCCCTTTTGCAGACTGCGGAGGGAAAGACAGAGAGCCACGCGTGTTCCCTGAGCACAGTTCCTGAGCCGGCGGTCAACGGAGGGCACAGATTTTCTCCTGGAATTTACAACAGGAGGGAAACTCTGCCCAGGAGAGAAATAAGGCACGTGGGGAGGCTCAGGGGTTGGTCCCAGAGGTACGGGTCGACAAAGCCCAACTTCCCAAGGTCTGCTCTAGGCACGCCCTTTGGAAAGGAAAACGAGATTGCCTGGAGAGGCCGTGCCAGAGGAGGAGCGCGGAGAACAGAAACCGTGGACAGGCGGAACACCTCCCGCCCACCCCCCGCGTGCACCGCACAGGCAGAGACCCTGCGGGCATCAGAGGGAAGCCCTCACTGGATCTCAGCAGTCCGCTGGGGGATGCAGCCTTCCATCTCGAGTGCTTCGGGCCAGCCCTCGTACTTGTTGGCGTTCTTGCTGTTCTTGACGTGCTGTGGAAGGAGCGAGAAGAGCGTTCAATGGGGGTGTCGGGCACCTCCTCGGCTGCCTCTTTTCCCAGGGGCCCTCTAATGCAGGGGTGTCGAACTCATTTGTTCTGAGGGCCGGATCTGACATAAATGAGACCTTGTCGGGCTGGGCCATGTGTGTCATAAAATGTAACGCCGGGTAGCGGAGATATAAAACTTTATAAAGGACACAAACACCAACGGTTTCTTTTTTACTTAAAATAAAAACATGCTTAAAACATTAGCTCTGTAAGCTGCAAACCTACTTTTGATTTATTGACATTCACCACAGAAATCTCACGCTCAGAGTTCTGAGTCTAGGACCAAGGTTAAAACATGAAATGGCTGAGCGACTGAGAGAGTCTGGCGAAGCAAGCTATGATGCAGCAGCAGCAGCAGCAGCTGAACTGGAAGCAGGAGATGGCCGGTTCCACTACGGACCTGATGGAAGCCCTCTGGGGGCCTGATCTGGCTCTCGGACTGCATGTTTGACACCCCTGCTCCAATGATTTTGAGGTTTGTTACCCCTGCCCCTCCAGTCAACCTTTCCAGGTGGCATCGTAGGCCCAAAAGGCAAAAGGGCCCAGTACTGACTATCACATTCAAAGCCCTTCGTGGCCTTGGTCTCTCACATCTGTAGGACCAAAGAGCAATTCACATGCGGAATTCACTGCCACAGGAAGCAGTGGCGGCTACAAGCATAGACAGCTTCAAGAGGGGATTGGAGAAATATCTGGAGCAGAGGTCCACAAGTGGCTGTTAGCCACAAGGTATAGATGAAACACTCTGTCTGGGGCAGGGATGCTCTGTGTTCTTGCTGCTTGGTGGGGGGGCCACAGTGGGAGGGCTTCTGGAGTTCTGGCCCAACTGGTGGACCTCCTGGTGGCCCCTGGGTTTGGGCCACTGTGTGACACAGAGTGTTGGACTGGATGGGCCACTGGCCTGATCCAAAATGGCTTCTCTTATGCCTGGGGCAATAATGCTCCATCTTCTTGGTGCTTGGGGGGGGGGAACAGTGGGAGCGCTTCTGGAGTTCTGGCCCCACTGGTGGACCTCCTGATGGCCCCTGGGTTCGGGCCACTGTGTGGCACAGAGTGTTGGACTGGATGAGCCATTGGCCTGATCCAACACGGCTTCTCTTACGTTCTTACATCTCAGGCAGCGAAGCTCTGTATCCTTAGTGCTGGGGGGGGGGCAACAGTGGGAGGGCTTCTGAAGTTTGGGACCTCCTCCTGGCCCCTGGGTTTTGGCCGCTGTGTGACACAGCGCGTTGGACTGGATGGCCTGATCCAACATGGCTTCTGTTATGTTCTGAAATTATTATAAGCACCTCTCTCCCTATGCTCTGCCACGACGGCTTTGCTCATCCCAGCATGGCCCTCTGCAGGTACTATCCTGCAAACGGGCAAGAATTGGTAACCGGCCGTACTTGTGCATTCTCTGTTGTGTTACTGTTGTTGTCCCCCCGCCGCCGCCTAAGGAGGTCAGGGAGGCTCCCACACTCCTGGCTTTCCGCAAACTGCAAAATGGAATTATTCCAGAGGGCTTTTTTGCACAAGTAAACAGGACTATAGGTCAGAAAGTCGTAAAGGACAGGGACTGTGGCTGGGCTCCCGATAACTGCAAGTATGCTCCAGACCAGGTAGTTTCCACACCACTTAATAAGGTAAGGGTAAAGGTTTCCCTTGCTCAAAAGCCAGTCGAATCCGACTCTAGGGGGCCGGTGCCCATCTCCATTTCCAAGCCAAAGAGCCAGCGCTGTCCGAAGACGTTTCTGTGGTCATGTGGCAGGCATGACTCAACGCTGAGGCGCACAGAACGCTGTCACCTTCCCACCAAAGCGGTACCTATTTATCTACTTGCAAGTTCTTGCTTTCGGACTGCTATGTTGGCAGGAGCTGGGACCGGAGACGGGAGCTCACTCCGCCACGCGACACTCGGGTCTCGAACTGCCGAACCACCGACCTTCCAGTCTGCAGCTCGGCGTCTTAACCTCTGAGCCACCGTGGCTCCTACACCACTTAATGCACCACGTTTAAAAGCCCATGCTTTCTTTCAGCTCTGTTTGAGATCTCTGTTTGTTTTTGGATTTCCGTAATCCAAACGCTATTGTGCTGTTTGGGCCCCGTCCTGTTGACTGCCTTGCGTCTCAGTACGAAAAGCAGACTACGAATAACCGAATACAAATAAAGATACCTGTTCAAAGGGGCTCTTGTCCTGCACCCCCTTGGCGCCGACAAACACCCAGCTGTCCCGGAAGGCCAGGTCCTTAGCCACGCTGCTGCCCAGCTCGGTGAAGATTTTGCGGGTCTCTTCGTTCATTCTGGAGAGGAGGAGATGGCTGTGAGCAAGCGAGCCAGAGTGATGCGGATGTATTTAGGCCAGGGGTGGCCAAACTGCGGCTCGGGAGCCACATGCGGCTCTTTCACACATATTGTGCAGCTCCCTGCAGGGCGGCTGGGGAAGCAAAGGGGAGCCATGCTTTCCCTCCCCTCCCTCCCCTCTATTTGTTTCTCTCTCTTTCTTTCCACCTCTTTCCTTCTCTCTCTCTCTTTCATCTCTTTCCTTCTCTTCCTTTCCATCTCTTTCCTTCTCTCTCTCTCTCTTTGCACCTCTTTCCTTCTCTCTCTCTCTTTCTTTCCACCTCTTTCCTTCTCTCTCTCTCTTTGCACCTCTTTCCTTCTCTCTCTCTTTCTTTCCACCTATTTCCCTCTCTCTCTCTCTCTCTTTCCTTCTCTCTCTTTCCATCTCTTTCCTTTCTCTCTCTCTCTCTTGATAAATAAATATCCTTCGCAAATAAATATCACTGGACAAATAAATATCATTATCAATATCTGTTTTTACCCCTTTTTATTTTTCTCATTTAATGTCAATAAAAAGCAAATGTGCATATTTTTAAAATGAAAACGTGAGTGTGATATTTGTTCATGTCTTACGGCTCTCAAACATCTGACGTTTATTCTGTGTGGCTCTTACCCTGAGCAAGTTTGGCCACCCAATTTAGGCAGATCATGAAAGGGACGGCAGGAAGGGACGAGCTGGTACTCGGCTCTTATACGCCCAGCATTATGCCAATCACCACTCTGGAGGCGGGAAGGAATTTTCCTCCAAGTCAGATTGGCTGGTGGGTTTTTTCCTTTCTCAGGACAAAAGAGCAAGGGGTCACTGGGAGAGGAGGTGGGAAGTAGCGGTAAATTTTCTGCATTGTGCAGGGGGGTTGGACTAGACGACCCCTTGGGGGATCCCCTTCCAGCTATAAGTTTCTAATATGTACCCTTTCCCCTCTGTCACTCACACTCTTCTGAGCACACAGCCCCACTTCTGGGGAGGGGCTGTGGCTCAGTGGCAGAGCATCTGCTTGGCACACAGAAGGTCCTTTTAACTCTAGATGCCGGGGATTGAACGTGGGACTTTCAGCACGCCAAGCAGATGCTCTGCCACTGAGCCACAGCCCCTCCCCAGAAGTGGGGCTGTGTGCTCAGAAGAGTGTGAGTGACAGAGGGGAAAGGGTACATATTAGAAACTTATAGCTGGAAGGGGATCCCCCAACAGGCTGTGTTCCCTCTAAGCTGAGTTAGTGTGAGCTGGCTCACAGTTTTTTAGCCTCCGGCTCACACAGGTTTGTCTTGGCTCATGGAGGATGGCTCCAGAGCAAACTAAATTATGCAGTAGCCAAATGGCTCCCTCACAACTTTAATGCCAGTCGCTCACAAGGTAGAATTTTTGCTCATAAGACTCCACAGCTTAGAGGGAGCATTGGGGGAGAGGAAAGGAAGTAAGCCGCTCCAGGACCCTGAGTGAAGGGCAGGGGCTTAACCACTACACCAAACTGGCTCTCCTCCTCCCTCCCTCCCTCATTTCTCATCTTCTGAAGAGCTTCTGCTTGGAATGCAGAAGGTCCCAGGTTTTATTAATAAATAAATAAAATAAGTCAAGGGCTGGCTGGCAAACAGGTCTGAAAGGCCAGGTGCCAAGTAAGCTGCTTTCAACACCCTCAGAGGGGCTGGGCGAAATCGCTAAGCTGCCTTGATGCTGAATGCAAGCAATGGCACGGTGGCATCTAACCCGTACCGGCTGTCCCCAGTCGGTCACTCACTTTGTGGCGGGGTCGTCGTACGAGGCCACGAATACCAGCGTCCCCTCATGCAGCGGCCGGATGAATTTTAACAGCTCGTTCACATCTGGAGGACAGAGAGAGAGAGAAAGAGAGACACAGCGACTTAAGGCAGAAGGTCTCCACGGTTCTTTCAAATCCTGCACAGACCGCTGGCGTGCAGAAAAGCTACAAAGCACAGAATTGTTTGTTTATCCATGTTCTTTATAGTCCACTTTTCTCTCTGGGATGCAAGGCAGCTTACACAGGAGGAGTCAATACAAGCAACAGAGCAGGACATCCAACAGACGACGCAACGGGATGTGACTCGCAGAAAGCTGGAAACTGGCCAGAGGTGAAGCAATAATAATAATAATAATCACATGGCAGAGTCTGTAGTATAGCCGGGAGATCCTATGATTGTCTGACAGCCAGCAGTTCTCGCTCTTTTAGCGTTATGCACCACTAGGTGGCGAGCTAGACTTGTTTTCAAGGCAAGAGATGTTTCAGAGGTGGTTTGCCATTGCCTGCCTCTGCGTCACAACCCTGGTATTCCTTGGAGGTCGCCCACCCAAATACTAAGCATTTTGATGCAGTAATTCAAAGCAAACAGGTGTCAGTTATCGGACACTGTTAAATAAACAAAATATTTTCCTCCCCTACTGAAGAGCTTTTGCCCTCCCAGCTCGAGGAAACCTTGAAGAAACTCAAACAGTTGGATTGGGCTAGCACCGTGGCCAGGGCCAGACGCACCTGTTCTCCTTTGGCTCTGGGATTGCTCCCTCCAGAGAGATTTCTGGATTTTCATTCATCGCTACCAATTCCATCCCACCGCCATGCCTTTATGCTGGCCCGCTTAAATGCATTTCCAACTATGGTAACGCTGGGCAGATTTAGAGGCTTACCTTACTCAGATCGCCTCTGTCTGTGCAACTCTGGCGAAATTGAAACTTTAGACCATCTGATGTTTCGCTGTCTCCATTGGACTCAAGATAGAGGGATATATATCATTCCTATTCTTACGAAGATGAATCTTCCCTTGCAACCTTGGGTGCTTTCAGTATTGCTATCTGATTCAAATGCCGATGGACTGATAACAGCTAACGTGGCGCGGTTCTTGGCTAAGGTTGCTGCTCTTAAGAAACACTGAAAGCTTTATCATCTCTGCAAACACCTACACTGATTTTTAATCTTCGGAGGATTTTAGTTAGTTGGCTGCGCCCCAAGTGTAGTTAGGTCTTTTTTATTCTCTGGGCTATGCTTGGGTTTATATGTTTACTGATTGTGACTATGTACTTGTCATATTTTATGTCAATTTTATGTACCTATTTTACTCCTTTTGCATTCTCTTTTGGTCAAGACTCTTTTGGTCAAGACATATAGACCCATAATAAACTGAATTGAATAAACAAAATATTCCAAGAGCGCTAATGTTTTAAGCATGTTTTTATTTTGTTTTTAAAAAAACCTTTGTGTCTGTGTCCTTTATAGAGTTCATATCTCCGCAACCCGGCATTACATTTTATGACACACGTGGCTTGGCCCAACAAGGTCTCATTTATGTCAGATCCGGCCCTCATAACAAATGAGTTCGACACCCCAGCTCTAGAAGTCACCCCAGCTCTAGAAGTCCACCTTTCAGCCTCCCCCACACAAGCTGCCAGCATTGCCTTAAGCCAGCCAAGTCCACACAGCCAAGACTGTGGGTGTTTCCTCCCTCACAACGCACTTTTCAACAGAGCAACCCTGCAACCTCTATGCATAAAGCATTCCCCAACTTGCAGCACGGCAATCAAAACGGCAACCTCTCCAGCTGCTCCTTCGTCTTCCACCTTGCTTTCAGACCAAACATGAAGTCTCAACTACTGCCAGACAAAATCCAGAGAGAGACTACCCCTGTTCCACAGCCATACCAGAACCGTCCCAAGAGACCTCAACTATTCTTCCATACCCCACTTTCATCAGGTAAAGCCCACCAAGCCATGGGTAAGAACGTAAGAGAAGCCATGTTGGATCAGCCCAATGGCCCATCCAACTCTGTGTCACACAGTGGCCAAAACCCAGGGGCCATCAGGAGGTCCACCAGCAGGGCCAGAACTCCAGAAGCCCTCCCACTGTCGCCCCCCAAGCACCAAGAAGATAGAGCATTATTGCCCCAGACATAAGAACATAAGAGAAGCCATGTTGGATCAGCCCAATGGTCCATCCAGTCCAACACTCTGTGTCACACAATGGTCAACACCCAGGGGCCATCAGGAGGTCCAGCAGTGGGGCCAGAACTCCAGAAGCCCTCCCACTGTCGCCCCCCAAGCACCAAGGAGACAGAGCATCACTACCCCAGACATAAGACCATAAGAGAAGCCATGTTGGATCAGGCTAAGAGCCCATCCAGTCCAACACGCTGTGTCACACAGAGGCCAAAACCCAGGGGCCATCAGGAGGTCCACCAGCGGGGCCAGAATTCTAGAAGCCCTCCCACTGTTGCCCCCCCCCCCGAAGCACCAAGGAGACAGAGCATCACTCCCCCAGACACAGTGTCCCATCTATACCTTGTGGCTAATAGCCACTGATGGACCTCTGCTCCAAGCCCCTCCCACTCACCTCCTGCCCACATGTCGAAGAACTTCGCATCGATTAGCTCTCCATTCACTCCTGCAGGCAAAGTAAAGCAAGACGAGTGTTAGGGGCAGGCCGCACATCACCCCGTGGCCCCGTCGTCCGTGGCCCACCGTCCCATCTCACCATTCACGAGTGCAATGTTCAGGCCCCGGCCCACGTTGTTCTTCACGCTGCTCATCAGCCTGAAAGGGAAACGAGAAGGCGGTGAGGGTTGCCAATCTCCAGGTGGTGGCTGGAGATCCCCTGGGGTTACGACTGCTCTCCAGGCAGCAGAGTCCAGTTCCCCTGGAGGAGATGGCGGCTTCAGAGGGTGGGCTTTGTGGGATCACACCCCCGCTGAGCTCTCCCCGCTCCCCAGATTCCACCGTCCCGAGGCTCTGGCCTCAAGTCTCCAGGAATTTCCCAAGTTACAGCTGGCCACCCTAGAGACAGACACCACCAGCAGGCCTCCTAGCAAGGCCACAAGCGCTGAGGCTTCCCCTCGGGGATAAGCAGCCCGAGAAGAGAAGAAGAATAATAATAAGAAGAGATTGGATTTATACCCCGCCCTTCACTCGGAGTCTCAGAGCAGCTGACAAACTCCTTTCCCTTCCCCTCCCCACAACAGACACCCTGTGAGGAGGAAGAGGAAGAGGAAGAAGAAGAAGAGGAGGAGGAGGAGGTTGGATTCATACCCAGCCCTTCACTTGGAGTCTCAGAGCAGCTGACAAACTCCTTTCCCTCCCCCTCCCCACAACAGACACCCTGTGAGGTAAAAGAAAAAGATGAAGAAGAGATTGGATTTATCTCCCGCCCTTCACTACCCAAAGGAGTCTCAGAGCAGCTGACAAACTCCTTTCCCTTCCCCTCCCCACAACAGACACCTTGTGAGGTAGGTGGGGCTGAGAGCTCTTGACAGGAACTGCCCTTTCAAGGACAACTCTTGTCAGAACTATGGCCTGCCCAAGGTCATCCGGCTGTACAAATCCCACTATTAGAAAACAGCATCAAAGATTGCCAAAATGATGTATTAAAAAATGATAACGTTGGTGGTGTCACAACAACAACATTAATGCATACTGTAACTCTAATAAGGCTTAAGAGACAATATTTCCTCCTTTGAGGATAAGACATAAAGTCCATGTAGTCAGTGTAACCGGACAGGAGGAGTCCACAAAGTCATAACATTTTCCAAACAGCCTTTGCAAAGACGCCCGTTCTAGATACTTGGAAGATGCGTTTCCTTCGACTTCATCAGTTCGCCGGCTGTTACAGTATGCATTAATGTTGTTGTGACACCACCAGCTTTATAATTGTTCACTATATTGTTTTGGAAGGAGCTGCGGTGGCTCAAGTGGTTAAGACGCTGAACTGCAGGCTGTGAAAGGTCGGTAGTTCAGCAGTTCAAGACCCGGGTGTCGCAAAACGGAGTGAGCTCCCGTCTCTAGTTCCAGCTCCTGCCAACCTAGCAGTTCGAAAGCAAGAAATTGCAAGTAGATAAATAGGTACCACTTCAGTGGGAAGGTAACAGCGTTCCATGCGCCTTGGTGTTTAGTCATGC